CCCAATGGGAGAATCACTAGCAGATTTCCCAGATTCTGGATTTGGGCTTAAACACTTAAGTGATCTGCACGAACTGGTAACCTAGAGACACATGCCAACCTTCTTGGTTTTACTAGAACCTCACTCTCATGGGACCCTGGAACAACTAGTTACATTCACTTATGACCAGTTAGCACAAGAAAGAAAAGTCCCGGGGCTGAAGAAATAGCACAGCGGGTCGGGCGTTTGCATTGCACGCGGCCAACCCGGGTTCAATTCCCAGCATCCCATATGGTCCCCTGAGCACCGCCAGGGGTAATTCCTGAGCACAGAGCCAGGAGTAACCCCTGTTCATTGCCGGGTGTGACCCAAAAAGAAAAAAAAAAGAAAAGTCCCAAGTATGGTTTGTAGGTGAGTTGATTGCTGTGTGAGTACAAACTGAAAATGGATGGTAGATACATTCCTACCACCTAAATGATACCACAATATCATTTAAGGGTCACCACAAAAGACCATGGTAAGCCAAAATCCTTTCAGTGGCCAGACAGTGAATCTGCCATCCAGTTTATGTGAAAAAAAAAAAAAGGTAATGACTTGAGTTTAGGTCCCAGTGGTGACTGGCTTAGTCAGAGAGCTTGAAAGAGAAAGATTTGAAAATTGAAACAAAGCAGCCAGAGGTAGAGGCCCCTGATTAGACAGATGGGAGTGGGAAGCAGACTAAAGATGTTTGGTCAGCATGTCAATGCCCATTAGAAAGCACCTCCAGGTACAACAGCCAGAGTGCAGGGGGGAGAGTGTTTGCCTTGCACACAGCTGACCCAGGTTCAATACCCGGCATCCCATATAGTTCCCTGAGCACCACAGGGACTGATCTCTCAGCGCACAACCATAAGTACTGAGTGCCACCATGTGTGGTCCAAAAAGCAAATCAGGATGAAAAAAAGCACCACTAAAGGCGAGGCATTAAAAAAAACAGGAAAGTCAAAGTGACCCTTGACTACCACTTTCCCTTCCTTCAATACCCCAATACTGGCATAATGGGTGCCTGAGCGATGGCTGCAGGCACAGTGGCTATTCACAGACCCCAGCATAGGCCCGCACTCTCCAGGGACCATCAAACTACTGCTGTGTTTGATCCACTGGCAACAGACACCACCTCTGAGTCTTTTCTTTGCTGTCATCCATTGAGGAGACCAACTAGCCACCTCAGAAGGAGTAAGACCTACATTTTTATAGTATAATAATTAGCAGAAGGCTGGAGCAATAGTACATCAGGTAGCAAGCTCTTGCCTTGCACGTAGCAGACCTGGATTCAATCCCTGGCATTCCATATGGTCCCTGAAACACTGCCAGGAGTGATTCTTGAGTGCAGAGCCGAGAGTTTACCACTAGGTGTGACACAAAACCCAGAAAGAACAAAAGAATGGAAGAAAGAAAGAAAGAAAGAAAGAAAGAAAGAAAGAAAGAAAGAAAGAAGGGAGGGAGGGAGGGAGGGAGGGAGGGAGGGAAGAAGGAAGGAAGGAAGGAAGGAAGGAAGGAAGGAAGGAAGACAGCAAAGGAAAATTAGCAGAAAATATCTGTTTATTGGGTCTGTACAAGAGAAGCACCCAGTGAGAAAAGATGAACAGATTGGACCATTTTAAAGTTTTATGCAAAAATGAAAAGGAAACAGATTGGAAAAGTTTGCATTAAATTTGTGACTCATAAATGATTAATATGCATTATGACTTTAACATAAAGCTTACTTAACTAACACATCAGAAAAGGTCTGGAACCCAATTAGATACATGTCAATATAATAGCTGCCATTTATTGAATATTTTTCAATGCCCACACTAATTTACAAAATGAATTTATGTACAGAATGTAACCACTATTTTTCACATGATAGCACAGACTATATTACTGACGGGTCTTCTAAAGTAGAGTTTTCAGTGACTATGTAAGGAAATATGTCTTTCTTTTCTTCTTTCCTTTCACTCTTCCTTCCTTCCTTCTTTCCCTTCCTCCTCCCTTTCTCTCTTTCTCTCTTCCTTCCTTCCTTTCTTTCATTCTGCCCTTCCCACCTTCTTTCTTTCCTTTCTTCTTTCTTTTTTTGCAAGAGTGAGACAGGCGTCCTAGGGATGGCTTTACCTTTTCCCTCCATGTAGGGCCTCACCAAACACCACTAGAATGTTCAACCCACCAGCAAAGGAGCCCACATATATTGCATTAAATGAAGGAATCAATTTTATAGCACAACATGGACAAGATCAGGCCAATAATCAAAAATACGCATACACACACACACGCACACACACACACACACACACACACACACGCACCTCTCCATCTATACATAAAATACATATACATATATATATATATTTGGGGGGGGGAGAGAGAGAGGAATTTACTTGTTGAAGCATTAGTTTGGAGAGATTGTAAAAATGGCAACAAATGTTCTCAGTCTGGCAGACCAAGAGGCAGAAGCAAGAAGATTCAACTTTACTATCAAACCCATTGATATGCTTAGGGAAAATGATGCTCCAGGTCTCTGCAACCTTGAGCCCTGCAGAATTAGGGATCGTTGTCATAAAAAGAAATATTTTGGTCAGGACAGTTTTTCAAAGAACTGGAGCCTTACATGTAGTAAAGCCCAAGTTCGATCCCTGGCACCACATGGTCCACACACCCCCCCCAACCCTGAAGCACACTGGAAGTGATTCCCCAAACACCCAACTGGGACTAGGCCCTTGAGTACTGCCAGATGTGGTGCCAAAGCCGAAATTAAAACTAAAAGGGAAAAGTTCTTCCATTAGGGGACACAGGGAAAGAAAAATCTCACTGGACCATTAACAATGGCTGCCTCTTGGGTACTTCATGAGTCTCTTTTGCCAAACCAAGCAGACAAGGGGAGATCTGCTGTCATGGGAGAGGTGATGGGCCAATTAGTAGGAGAAAGAAGGACTGCTGCCACAATGTGGGGTGGGGGGCAAGGAAGAGCATGTCTGGAATACTGGGATCCAGAGCGGTGATGATTGGTACATTCTCACCCAGTTCTGATGGTTACTATATAAAGTGCAGGTGTTATGACTAAAAAAAAATTAAAAAATGAGACTAGAGGACTAATACAGGAGTTGAGGCAAGAGAGAGGATCCCTCAGAGATGAGGGTTCAGACCACTCCCCGATAAGCTGCTTAAACCAGTGAGTGAGGTATTTAGCAGGGCCTAGGATGACTACTGAGGCAAGGAGAAGATGAGTATCAAGATCATCTATAATGCCGGGAGCTGGAGTTCCTTTCCTTAACCTCATCTTAGATGTTTCTTCTAGGAGAGAAGCTGCCAAACACTTGAGGCACTGCTTTCAAACGTCCATGGAAGAGCAGATCTAAATGAGCGAGTGGTGGACCACCGTGGAGGTGGTCATGAACCCTGGGTTCGGCATCCCATATGATCCCCTGAGCACCACCAGGAGTGATTCCTGAGTATCACCAGGTATGGCCCCAAAACAAACAAAGAATAAAGAGCTTGACTCTCAACTGCCTCAGAGTGCTCCCCTCAGCTCGACCCTCAGGGCTCACCTCTGTGAAAGGGAGCCATTTAGCTCCTTCCTAGGGTTGTCCTCCTCCAAGGACTGGGCAAATCAAGGATGGAATGTCTTGGTTCTTCACCCTAAGTCAGGACAGCAAGACCAGCCAATTCAGAGCTCCGTGTGGAGGTGGTTGACAACTTTGTTGAAACCATGTCACAGGCTCCCTCACTCTCTCTTCTTACCTGCTATGGGGGCTGACCCCCAGACGCATCTTAACCAACTGCCTGCATGTCACCCTCCTGCTCTATTTTGTGCCTGAGGAACCCAACCAGTGAGAGTGCTTTCCAAACTGACCTGAGGAAGATCTTTCAGGCAAAAGAGAAGCTAGTGCTGAAGAAACAGAAAAAAAAGTTACAGATACTGTAGTAGGGGAGGATGGAAAAAGATGGAGGTTGGGGAAAACACAATCAGAAACAAGATCTTAATAGGACCTGGAAAGAAACTGCCAGGGTGGGGCTATTTGAACAGAGTTGATATCATGGCAGAAGGTGACATAATTGGAATTAAAATTTAAAAGAACCATCCTGACGATTGCCCTGGGAAATGACTGGGCAGGGGTCCAGGAAGGACAGGGAGGGACTAATTAGGAATCTATTTCAGTAATCCAGGTAAGACAGGATCAGGACTGAGATGAGAGTGATAGTGATAAAGATGATTAAAATAGAGATTTGATTCCAAATATATTCTGCTGGTCAAGTCAGGAGACTTCTTGAGAGGTTATGTGCAGGGTGTGAGAGAACAAATGAATCAAGGATGACTGAACAAACTGAAGAAGAGAATGAAGGGGGAGTGCTCTGAGAGGAGCACGTGGGGAGTGCATGATGAGGGTGTAAATTTTCTTTTCCATGTTGATTTAGAGATGTCTATTATGCACTCAAGTGAAGAGGTCAAATAGCTGATTGGAAATACCCATTTGGATTTTAGGGATGATGTCTGGAATGCAGATACACATTATAGGTGGTCTTGAAACTAGATAAGACCATGAAGATGTAGGAATGTAGATGGAGGAGAGAAGACCAAGGTCTGATAGATGGATCCCAGATGCTCCATATTAAAGAGGGCAGGAGGACAATAAAAGATCCATCAAAGGAGATGTACAAGTGATGGGTTTGAAGCAGAACAATCAGTCAAGAGTGCAGTGGGATACTGGAAGCTAAGAGGAGAAAAAATGTGTCAAAAATACCTAAGTCTATTATTGTGAATTATATCTCCAGAGGTAAAGCTGATGAGAATATGGTGTTCCCCTGAACTTAGTGTTGGTGACAGTAACATCAATTTCACAGGAGGGCTAAGAACAGATAGTAAAGTGCGGAAGACTCATTAAAGGAGCTTCATTGCCAAGAGATGCAATGATATGGTGCATAATGGCAGGGAAAGTAGTTAAATAGTACTTTTATTGGGTTCATTTTGCAGATGCAGAAACCAAGGTTCTAAAAGGTTGAGGGGATCATCAGGCAGGATAACCCTTACCTGTTTCTCTATTCAGAGGGCAGATAGAACATGATGATTGCAGTTGGCATGATTCTTGATTAACGTATCTGCGTGATTGGGGTTCACAACACCCTAATTGCACCTAATTCTTAAAGACATAAATAAATAAAAGGTTGAGGAATTTTTCCAGGTTCTTTCAGTACAAAGTTGTGCCTGAAATTAAAAGTTAAACTCTATGTTTTCTTAATCAATTTAATCTGCTCAGTGGAAGCTTAATTATTTGTCACTAGTGGGGCAGGGTGTGTGTGTGGGTGGGTGTGTGGGGGAGGGGGTGCGGGGTTTGGCCACATCCAACTATTCTACAGGCTCTTTGCTCAAGGATCATTTCAGGGGTTCAGGGTGGGGCTCAGGGGATCAAATGGGGGTGCACAGGATCAGACCAAGATTAGCCACATGCAAGACTAGCACCTTAACCACTGTATTCCGGTCTGGAAATTTTACTTGTTTTATTTTCTTTGGGGTCATACCCAGCTGTGCTCAGGGCTCACTTCTGGCTCTGCTCACAGGGATCATTTCTGGTAGTTCTCAGGGCACCATATGGGATGCCGGGAATCAAACTTGGGTTAGCTGTATGCAAAGCAAGCCCCCTACCTGCTGTATTTATCACTCAGACCTCTGGAAAACTTACTTTTTAAGAAAAAGTAATTATTTATTTGGGGAGACAGTGCTCAGGGAACCCTGGAGGCCATTCTGGCAATTCTCCACCAACTGGACCCATGGTTCAGTTCCAGGGCACAAGGATGTGTTGCTGCTCGGGCAGGCCCTGCAGTGCTCAGGAGCCTCCAAGGCTACAACAAGTGATGCTTGGGGGGCTGGAGGTCACATGGTTTGGGGGTATCCAATCAGGGTCACACAAATGCAAGGCCCTAAACTTTGTACTGTCTCCTAACCCAAAGCTGACTTTTAAGTGCTCTATTACTCACAGGGAGATGAATATCATTAATAAGCATATAATTGCACTACTGATTATTTTCATGAGGTGAATTTCTAGAGGTGGAACTCCTGAGTCAGAGGTACACACATGCTAACTTATGAATCCACATTGCCAATACCTTACGGAAAGGCTTATACGTCCATCAGTCACACGTAAGGTCTGCTTCCCAGCACTAATGTCAACACTGGCGCCTGTCCTTTCCACTCCTTCAATTGCATAGGTGTGAATAGCATTTCATTTTGCACATGTATGATCATTGGTTATGTCTGATCATGTTATACAGGTCGATTTCCCAGCAGCTTCTTTGGCTTCTGCGGTGTTTTTCCCTCTCAGATCTGACTTCCCTCACCTGACCACTCATCACAATTCTTATTTCTTGCTGCAACATGTCTAACTTAGAAGGTAAATGGCACAGAGCTAAATAGAATGAAAAAGCTACAATAATTTTAAAGTAAAAACTTAGGTCTCGGGGGCTGGAGTGATAGCACAGCGGGTAGGGCATTTGCCTTGCACGCAGCCAACCGGGTTTGATTCCCAGTATCCAATATGGTCCCATGAGCACTGCCAGGAGTAATTCCTGAGTGCCTGAGTGCAAAGCCAGGAATAATCCCTGTGCACCGCTGGGTAAAAAAAAAAAATATGTCTCGGGTGGTTTTCCTCCCTGATAGATTGTGGAAGATTTGATTTTATGATGGGAAGGGGATAAAGAGATAGTACAGCAGGTAGGGCACTTCCCTTGCATGCAGCAGACCCAGGTTCAATCTCTGGTGTCCCATATAGTCCTCCAAGCCTGCCAGGAGTGATGAGCACAGAACCAGGAGTAAGCCCTGAGCAAAGCTGAGTGTGGCCCAAAAGAAAAAAAATTTTAAAAAGTTGGGGGAGGGCAAGGTAGATGTGATTGCTTACAAGACTGAATGTCATCCAACGTATATGACCCATGACCTAGGAGAAGATGACCAAGAGTGTTCAATTCCAGAGAATTCCCCAGGGTGCATGGAAAGGCTGCAAAAAAGTTTATTTATTTATTTTCAAATTTATTTGGGAGTGGGCTGCACCCAGTATGCTCAGTGACTATTTGATCTGCTGACTCTGCACTCAGGGAATCACTCCTGACAGGCTCAAGGACCATCATGGTGCCGGGAATTGAACCCGGATTGGTGTGTGCAAGGCAAACATCCTACTCACTGTAGTATAGCTTTGGCCCCTTTTAGGGGCGAGTGGGGAGACGGTTGCAGCCACACCTGGCAGTGCTCAGGTCAGTGACTGTTCTTGACTCTGCTCAGGGGTGACGCACGGATCTGCCAGAGAGACCATATGTGAAGTGGTTATGCACAGCAAGCCTGACCTCCTGCACTATCTCTCAGGCTCCGGGAAGGTAATTATAAAATTATAAAATACTTTGTGGGCCACACTTTTCAGCTTAGCCACGTCTCCGTCCGCACCCCCACTCCCACCATCTTTATTGTACAGCACCGTTTCTATTCTCCTTTTCTCTTCAGCCCTGGTACACAGTTGATAAATGGGTCTGGGTTCATATAAATTAAGTTAACTGGCACATTTACTTATGTAGTTAATCCAGTGTTATACTGTTGGTTGGAGAAAAATTCAGAAATGAAGACTAACAGAAAAAAATTCTTCACTGTACTCTCAAATAATTATTATTTATATTTTATTGAGTTTTGTTTGAGTTTCCAAATCTTATAAAAATGTTTTATATATAAGGATAACCTTCCAGTATCTGTATTGCAAATCATAATGCCCAAAAGGGAGAAGTGGAAGAGGAGGAAGAGGAGGAGGAGGAAGAAGAGGAGGAGGAGGAAGAATGCCTGCAATAGAGGTGGGGGCGAAGTGAGGTGGGGGTAAAACTGGGAACATTGATGATGGAAAATGTACACTGGTGAGGCATGAGTGTTGGAACATTATAAGACTGAAACCCAATCATGAACAAGTTTGTAACTGTGTATCTCACTATGATTCAATTTAAAAACTAATTTTAAAAATTTACATGCTTTACATAGTATATAACTTCACGTAATTATTATTTTCAATGAATAAATCTTGATTCTTTCTAACTTTCTAATTGTCGATATAGTTTATGTGCATCGTCATTTTAAAGTTCTTTATGTGCCTGCCACAGAGTCAGGCTGGGGGCTGGGAAGGAAGCTGGGGACATTGGTGGAGGGTGGTGGGCACTGGTGAAGGGATTGGTGTTGGAACAATATATTCCTGAAACTCAATAATAAATATCTTTGTAACTGTGTAATTCATGGTGATTCAATTTAAGAAAAATAAATTAACTTTCTTTTTTCCTTTTTTAGTTTTTTGTTTTTGAGCCACAATCTGTGGTGCAAAGGGCTTACTCTTGGCTCTGCACTCAGGAATCACTCCTGGTGGGCTCCGGGGGCAATATAAGTGCTGGGGATTGAACCATGATGGGCTGCGTGTAAGGCAAGTACCTTACCTATTGCACTCTCTGGTCTCTCCCTCCCTCCCTCCTTCCCTCCTTCCCTCCCTTCCTTTCTTCCTTCCTTCCTTCCTTCCTTCCTTCCTTTCTTCCTTCCTTCCCCCCTTCCCTCCCTTCCCCCCTTCCCTCCCTCCCTTCCTTCCTTCCTTCCTTCCTTCCTTCCTTCCTTCCTTCCTTCCTTCCTTCCTCTCTACCCTCCTTCTGCTCTCCCTCTTTCCCTCCCTCCTACCCCCTTTCTTACTTTCCTCTACTCCCCACTCTGTGCTTGGGGTTGTTCCTGGCAGTGCTCCAGGTACCATGGGACCCCGGGAGCAAACCCAGACTCCTGCAGGCAAAGCTCCAACCTCTGAGCCATCTTGAATTTTAATTTCTGTAAAATTTTCATTACTTAATCTTTTATCTTTGGACATATAGGTTATTTCTTACTGTTTTCATGTGATAAGGAAGGTCAACAGTAATTCTGTCCTTGTATATTTGCCAGCTATTCCTTTAGAAAACATTTTGACACGTGGATCCACCAGGCCAAAGAGCATGTACAATTTTAGAATTTTTTGAGATATAGTTCTAGTTCATAAATGAGCATTAGTTCTCAATAATATCCTTGCTAAAATAAGAAAGGAGGAAATCACAAGTTTTCTTTAGTAGAATAATTAGTTCTCTGGGCAAGGATATTACTTGAGAAAGTAAAAACATGACAAAGTGAAAACAAGAGATAAATGGATGGAGGGAAGCTTAGCATTTGGAACCAAAGAAGCAGGTCTCTAGCAAGGAAATCTGAGCTTCCAGAAGCTTCTGTTTAGCTTGGCTTCTGACTTTTTGTGGAGGCAGTTCAAGGGCTCTTGTTTATGTCGTGTCTACATCAGCACCCTGCTAACAGAGCGAAGAAATAGAGCAGATCAGAGGTAGACATGTGTTGGTACTCACCAGTACCTGGAGTTTTCTTAAGACACAACTGCAAGTCACAGAAGAATGCTCTGCAGGAACTCCCTTCCCTTCACTCCTTCACTCCCTGAACACCAAACCAAATTCCTTAATAGTTCCATGGGCTCATAACCCTACTTAAAAAAAAGACACCATTCATATGTAAGAAATCTCCTTTGTCATTCACAACTCTTTTTATCTCCAATATCAAAGCCACCAAGAGAAGTAATTCTCTTTTGTCTAGTCTCCTCTGTCCATCCACCTCTCCAAACTCACAGCTCCAGAGTAAGTTTTCATTGCTCTTTTCCTATAAGAAGGTGGCAGCCGCTTGAATGTGCTTTCTAGAAGGTTCTAAAACTTTCTCACAGCTCCACACAGTCTTGGGAGAGTAACATTTCCTCTCCCAAATGACATCCCTTCCAACGCGCAGTCCTTGCTTTGCTTTACAGCGTCATCCCTGCCACCTCCTTTCTTCTGTTCCACAGGCTTGAGCCTCCCCAGCAATTGCCTCCATATGCTTTTGTTCCAGTGTTTTCCCCCACTGTCCTCACTCTGCTTTTCAGTCTGCCAAAGTTCTTGTCATCCTCACATCCCCAATGCAAATCTTAATCCTCTGAAGCTTTCTCCAGGCAGAATTACTCACTCTCTGCTCTGTTCCCATCGCATTTTGTATACACTGCTAGGGAAGCACTTATCATGGTATCATGGTACCTTCATAACAGACATGGTATCATCCTGATAGGCTGGAAGTTCACTGAAGACAGAACGTGTCTC